TTTAGGGATTATAGGCACAATATTTAGAAAATTTAAAATTGAAAAATACAGAATAAAATATACAAATTAAAAATAGATATTATTGCTATTTGCATCATAATGATTAGTATTCAATTACACCAATTTAACAAAAATCTTTCTTTGGTGGATATGTAATTCAACGATAGATAATGATAATAATGTAAGTAAATAATCGTTATTTACAAAAATATTTAACTTCTTTCACTACTTAAATGAATTAGTAATGAAAAATTAAAACATTCTGTAATGAATAAATAAATTATTTTTGGGGTCATATTAAAGGGTAGAAATATAAAAAATTATAATAATACAAAAATATATAATAATAAAACATAGAAACAATATCAACAAAGGCCAATAGCAATCACAATAATAAAAAGTAAACGCTCAACTTCTTTGCTTAAATTCAAAGTATTAAATGATCAATAACAAAGATATTACACATTTTTCTTCAGTTAAATAAATGAAGTAAAATTAAACAAAAATAAAATAAAATGGTTTTAAGTACACTTAAAAAATCTAGCAATAATCTCAAATAGTTCTTGCCCTACCTTCCGTCAGCTTTATAAAAAAAAAGGTATAAAATAAATCTTATCTATCTCACAGTACATAATAGCATCAGACAAAATTAATTAAAAACTAAAATGAAATCCTTTAAAAATTAGGGGATAACTATTTCATCTTTTATTGTGATATTTATGGATATAATAACGATAAAAATATTATTGATTATAATCAGATACATTTTACAGATAGATATTTTTAGAATACAAGATATATATTTATATCTATGGTACATAGAGAGTTTGGAAACAAAAATATTATGTATGCTTTCCCCTTGATCCTCAACTTAAGCTTCACTTAATAATGTCAGATTGCAAAGAAAGGAGTTGAATAGTTTTTTATGCAACATTATGAGAGAAATTTAATGATCCGCACAAATAAGATGTTTATAATTTATAAAATACAATGAGGTGGCATTAACAGGGATTAAAGACAGTATCTGGTATATATAGTTTGCTTAGGAGCAAGGTCTGGAATGTGAATAGATATCTATAACAAAACAGCTATCCCACAAAATAACATTTTTCAAAAAATAAAATAATGACTAATACTGATACATAATACATAAAAGTAATTGATACTAAAGGAAATAACACAGGAATCAAACAAAATAAAGAAAAGTTCAATACATTCATTAATTTATCCTTTTTACAAAAAAAAAAAAAAAAAAATTATAATTACACTAATAACATATTAACATAAAATAACAACAAATAAGTATTATTCGATCAATCCTTAATTATAAGTCAACAAAAAAATAAAACAATTTAATTTTTGAATGAAATAGATGAGAAAACATTCATAAATTTTTAGATAATTAAGAAAGGTTGAAATGAACATTAAAACTCGTATTAACAACAAAAAATAATAAGAGAAATTAATAAATCTCGTAAAAAAAAATCTTAAATTTATATTACTGTAATTTCTTTTTTTATGACTCAGAATAATGTAATTAAGATTGTTTATTTAAAAACAATCCTTTTCCATAATTTTATGAGAAAATTAAACAAAGAAATCTGAAGAGTAACATAATAATATAAAATAATCAATAACAATGTGTGGTATATTATTTTTACCTGTTAAATTAATTATTAAATGAAATGTAACCATATCAACTTATTTCAAAACTTTTTGAACAACATACAATTAAAAACTGACATGAACAAGTTATAGAAAACAATCATTTAAAAGATAATAAATAAGTACATGCTTTTTCAATATAACTGCTGAATGTGGCAATACTCACAAATGTAGATATAGGTTAAAAATAACAAGTAAATAATTCCTTAGCAGATAAATCCATGACATATTCCTTAACAGTAATAAATGAAGACTAAAAAGTCAAATGAAAGTTACATGAAGACGAGAGAATCAACAACAGATCAAACAAGTCATAAATTGGTCATTTCAAATTTAAAAAAAAATTTATTTTACTTTTATTAAACACCAAAGAATTAGGTTTTAAATTAAATAGCACAGATATGTATTTATTTGTGTCATTCAAAATTAAAGCTTGTGTTCTTTTAAAACGAAAAACGACAGTTTTTCATGAAAACGTGGATTGTAATTTATTCTGCTCTTGAAGTGTTTTTAATTTCATATCAGCTTTCAATAGAACTATATTAAAGAAGCAGTACAATTTATTTATGTATTGATATTAAGGGTCAATTCATTGTTGTAACAGGAAAACATTTAAGTATTGAAAATTCTAGATTCCCTCGCTTCAATTATTCCACATATCTACCCAACACTTTATAATTGTTTTTATTTAATTAATTTCAAATGTATAAATTAAATCAAACAGCTATTTTTCTGACACTGGACATTTTAGAATAAATTTAAATATGTGCAAGGAAAAAAACATGGATATCCCCTGGGGTCTATTAAAAACACAAATAGCAGTATTGCCAGGTGCAATTTTATTTTTTCTATATTGGATAGTACATTGCCCAACCTCTTTTCTTTGTATGAATACTTTGTATAGAATATATGATTTAAAATGATATTACATACATGAAATGTGTATTATATCTACAATAAACAAATTTTGTGCTATTAAGATGGTTTAGTTCAAGTTTTTATTATAGAACAGTTATTTTTATTGCATTAGATAAAGTAGGGTGTTTCAAAAAGGGGATTATATTAATTATAAGACATTATTAGTTATTATTGATACTAAAAAAAATAAATAAATAAAATGGTAAGATTTTTAACCAGCAGAAATACTTATCTTGATCAACCAACAGGAAAATAAAATTATTTTTAAAAATTATAAGGTTTCATAGATCCTCACATAAAATTTTAAAAATGATTTCTTGATTACTGGATGTTGGTAAAAACTAATTATGATTATATTTATGTAAGGGATTGGATTTAAGTTTTATTGTCTTTCTAATTTATGTTTAAAAAAATAGATAGATTGACGCAATTATATAAAATGAAATACTTAATAGAACCATACTTTCAAATTCAACCAATTAGATATGTAAATAATCTGCAAACCACCCATAAATTTCAGAGAGATTTATATTTTTTTTCAGAAAAATAGGAGAAAATAACAATACATAACCAGTACATTAAAAAGCATGGCTATCATCAATTCATGAATACATGCAAAGTAAAAAAAAATATTTTGTTCAACAACAGGCTAATTTTTAATCAACAAGCTATTTAGATGAAGTGAATTCCCATAAACAAATTACATATAAATTATATTTATACTGTTAAACATCATTCAAATAAAATTACAAGATTATTTTCACATTGTTTCCCTATTTAAAAATTAACAGCAAATAGCAAGACAAAAAGTCTACAGTACAATCAAACTTTAACACTGCTACCAATTCAATATGTTTTTAATATTTTTTTTTTTTTGCTTTATTAAAAATAGACTGATATGTTTTTCAGATAATCGATTTCAGTCACTAGGCTCCATTAAATAAAACAAAGGATTAAAAGCTAATGAAAAATACAAATAAAATCTGATATTCAGTGGGTTTTTTCTTCACTATCAAACATTAAAAAAATTATGTTTTAACAAAAAAAAACTACCAATTAATTTTAAAGAAAAGATTCAGGTTAAACAGAAATTTTTACAGTAATTAGGAGATGATAATTTAAAAACATACATGTAAAATGAATCAGGATGAAGATTAAATTTTAAATTAATATAAATAATAAGTTTATTTGTCATTAAACAAACATTTAACAATAAATTAACGAAAAAATATGGCTTCCTAAATATTACGCATAAATATTATTTATTCAGACCTTGACAAGTTGATCAATACATTTTCTACACCATGGCGAAGATAGAACTATTGTAACTAACTCGGAAGGATAATATTGAGAACAAAATAATATACATTGATAATTTTTTCAGTCCTAAAAGGCAACGAGAAATAAAAAAAAAAAACATTTCTAATTCTCTTCCTTGTTCCCTTAAGCGTAACCAGCATGATAAACTGGGTTGATATCACTGGTTTCAACCATAGCGGTTAAACACACACTAACAAAAAAATAGCCCCATTTTCAGTGATAATTATTAACCAAAACTATTAAAAAACAAAATTCATTAATGAGAATTATGTTATGTTAAAAAAAAGTAATTTTAAATTAAATATTGTTATACAAAGATTATTTTCTCAGTAATACAACACTTCACCAAACCGACATTTTCAGGCAATAATCATAAAAGTAATAGAGCAAAACATATTTTTTTTTTTTTTTAACCATCCAATAAGTAATTTTCAGTTAATCTAAACTTTTTCAAATCAACTTAAGTATTTTTATTTGTGTATTTTTTATCTACATACACAGATTTTACCTTTTAAATTTAATATAATATTCAGACTCTTGTAACACAGTAGTAAACTGGTTTGATCAAAGCCAGATAAAAGAATGTATTTACTGTTATTTCATATTTTTCAGTTGAGAAACTAATTTAAGAATCAAGTTTTTAAGAGACTGTGATCAGTGTAACAAACTTTTTTCAGTAAAATAATTTAGCAATTAAATATATAAAAAAATACTGCATCCATAAAATTCACAAAAGAAATATATAATTGAAACCTCTGAAACATTAGAAAGGCAATAATAATATACAAACTGGCTAGTTATCGGCTATTCAATTTCCCATTGTTACGACAAATAGCCTAATTTAAAGCCTAATATTTAGAACATCTGAAAAGTAGTGCCTATATAATCAGTCAAACTTAGTAATAGGTTATAGCTTAATGGACTATTAGGTTTTAATCAGTGCCTGTTGTTTTGAAATTGGGACTGGTGATAAAGGAGCTACTTAATTTTGAATAATGTGCATCCTGAGTGAGCATCTTTAGATGCATCTAGCTCCCGCTGGTAAAGGTGTTGCAACCACCTGTATTTACCTGGGTGGGATACGGACACTTTTGCCATTAAAGCTCGAATATTTCATCCCTTTCCTTCTCCAACCTCTGGAGTGAATCTCTTACTTTCCTCCCTTGGGTCATTACTACTACTTCGCTTGGCCGGCTACCACTACTGCTGCTGCTGTTGCCATCGCATCCACTGCACTCACTATCCCTTCTCGTCCTCGATGATGGTACTTTACGTCTCCAAAATATTGAATCATCATCAATAAACCTAAAAAGAAATATTCAGTTTTATTACCATAAATTATAAGAAAATTGAATGAGGCATAAATGTAAGGCCAAATCAAAATTTGAATAGCATAAAACATGATATGAAGAATAATGAAGAAGAATAGAGAAGAATAGTTGGGGTGATCAGTCAATCAAATAAGAGGGCAAAAATAAATGATAATATTTATTTTGAAATTTGCCGACGTTTCGACCTGAAGTTCAGGCCCATCATCAGGGCTGACTGCGGAGCAATGCTTAGATTTACATCTCCACAGTTTATAATAAGTTCAGCATCAGTTTTTATTTTCATACGAGCCTGGAAACAAATTTTTTCCAATTCTAAACTATACTATGTATAATAAAACCAATAGGTCTGCACCCGATTAAGTGAGGATTGGTTCTGAGATTGGAGCAGCGAAGGTTGGTTAGTGAGTGATGTTCTTATAGTAAATATTGAATTACTTAAAATGTTTCATTAAGGCTTAACTTTTTTAATAAATAAGAGGGTTTACTGCTTACTTTCCATCCTAATGGCAATATTGTTCAAAAACATTATAAGGATTTTGAACAAGAATTAAGAAGAATCAAAATTACGTAAGAGCTATTCCTCTATGTCAACTAACAAAGAAAATGTGAAGATGCCTGGATGCTCTATTTTTATAAAATAACAAATTATTTAACTCTATAAAACTTTAAAGAGATAGGTTCACATTCTAGAAGGCAGGATAAAAAGCAAAGCAAGGTTTCTTATCCATATAGTTGACAGGTTTGTTCGCATTCAGATCTTAAGAATCATACTGTAACCAGAAATCTATTTGTACGTGAAGTAAGTAAATTTAGCCAGGTATCGCTTTCCAATGAGACAGTGGAAAGATTTATCAAAGTTAATTTAAGTGCCAAAAATCCTGTGTGTGGTCATATCCACAAGAGCTCTTAGAAGAAATAGACTTAAATTTCCACTGAACACATCCATTGCAGTTCCAAGGCCTGGAACCATGTTCCCTTTAATAGCAATGAGAAAAAGAATCAGAAATCATGTTTGTATGCCAAAGTGAATATGTTCAATGATGTATGACCCCAAAAATTTTATTTTAAGTTCTGGGGTGGTATTTCATCTGATGTCCATATTGAACTAAGGTTGTCCTTAAATGCTCAAAGGTAAATGATGTGCCATTCAACTCCTACATTGAAAACATTCATACAGAAGTATGAAAATAAACAAACACATAGAGCTCAGAGCATAGCTGAGTACCTTAAGGATGTTGGTAACACATTCCCGGAGAGATCGTTGAACAATCTAGACTTTAATCCGATAAAGCACGTTTGGGTATATTTCACACTCCACAGGTTATGTCACAATTCCATTCCTAGGATATTTGAAATATGGGAAACAGCAGTTAGAGAAAAATTCCCAGGAATTGGTTTAAAACCTCTTTGAGGAGATAGATTGTCATAACTCATGCCACAGGCAGTATCATGATTAATTTTAATAGAAATTGTAGCATTTATTACGTTTTTTACTTTCCTACCTATACTAGGTAAGGAAAGTATTGCAATCGGTTCAAATTTCCGACATGCGGTTTTCGACGGATATATATGTTTCAGAGCCCTCTGAGTCCGGAAAACACATTTTTAGCCATTGGTCTGTGCCAAGATTTTCTCGGGAACTACTGAATCGATTTTATTGCTTCTTTTTTTATTTTGCAGGGTTTTGACTACTGATGCCTGTGACAGAAATTCAGTGCTCCATGCGCAATAGCTTGCACTCAATAAATGAAAAACATGTTTTTCTATAGACTGTAGCGCAAAAACGGCTCTAACGATTTTGATGAAACTTTCCTATAATGTTCTAATCATTGTTCTTTCAATTTTCGTATATAGAATAAATTCCTGAAAAAATTCAGGAGAAAAAGTTATAAAGAAAAAAAAAATGTTATGGGGCCTAACCCCCTAAGTATATATTATACGGTAAAATTTATAATAAAACTTTTGAAAGGTAATTAAATTACCAACAAAACAAAACAAAAAACCATCGGAATCGAACCAGTATTAGCGATGATACAGCTTATTCTATTTTTTAAACATTTTTTAACTTATTACTTTCCTACCTATACTAGGTAAGGAAAGTATTGCAATTAGGTCAAGTTTCTAACATGCGGTTTTCGACGGATCTATACGTTTCAGAGCATCCTGAGTCCGAAAAACACGCCGTTTACCCTGTCGTTTGAGGGTAATGAAATTCGCTACAAAGCCATATAAAAATCATTCATTTTGGAAAACTATTAACAAAGTTACAGCTATTCAATTTCCAATGTAAGATTACGATTTCATATTCTGGTGTCAGAAAGGGGTGAATGAGATAATAAAGATGACTAAGTGAAAGTAAGAAAATCTGTTGCCCGCATCACACAATCCTCACTATTTCATCTACTTTTAACAGAAATTATTGTTTGACAATACTAAGCTATGGCAAAAAGTTTTTCATCAGCCATATTAGGAAGTGCTTAAATTTTTATACTGATCTACCTTAAGCCGGTTAACATTACTTTAGTTTATCAAATAAACCGTACTCAAATCTTATGTTTGATCAATTTTCAGGAAAATGTATCTAGTTCAATTCGTTTTTGTTTCTTCATGAACATATGTAAAGATATAAAAACTTTTCTGAAATAGGTAGGAAAGTCGTGTGAGTGGACACACCAGATATTTTAATTTCGCAATTGCTTTAACTTACCTAAATATAATATAATATTTTCCATAAATACATGTAGTTTTACTAATACTGACTACTTCAGACTTCTGAACATCTTTAAGCAAATTAAAACATTATAAATTGCTTATAATGTATATTATTTGTCTATCTACAAGTATGTAATTAATACAAGAATAATGGCATAAATTAATTTTTGTTTTTTCAAACACTTAAAAGTGCAGGTACAAAGTAATCAATGGCAATAAACATATAATGACTACTTACTCTGAATTACCCTGAGCAGTAATAACTTGGGTTTTAGTGGTTGCGATAGCACAGTCAATCTTCACAAGAAAGTCTGAATAGGAATCTTCCCTCTCGACATCTCCATTCTTAGGGGTGGTGATCTCTGATGGACACTGACCATTTGAAGGAGAATTTAAACCTGAATCCTGTGATGGGGATGCAGATGTAGAGGGGGATGAACAGGGTATGAGAAGAGATTCTCGCAGGAAAATACTATCATTAGCCCATAGTCGGTTTGCTCTCCGAATTTCTTCTGTCTGCAACATTTTTTTTTGTCAGTAAGTTATATATAAATACCATATTTTTTTATAAATATAATTAATACATAATAAATGAAACTGATCTAGAATAAATGTAAATAAAACATAAATTATTTTGATATTTTTTATAAACATACAGATAGATATTCAATACTACAAATGAAAATAAAAAGACCAACAGATATTTGAAATTGAAACTAACAAAGACATCCTACACCTAAGGTTAGATAAAATTTCAATGTATTGATAAACAGCCATTTATCTCTAAAAACTATTTACTCTTTCAAGGAAGATCGAACAGTACAAAAAGCATCCAGCAGGAAACCTAAAAGGAACATATAGTTGGTTCATTGCAAAATGTCATTAAGTAATATTTCATAAAATTAAGTCACTAAGTACTTTGATAAATTTTCTTATTGTGAAATCAGTACATTGTGAACTTTGTGTAACTATTTTCAATGTATAATAAAATTTGTAAAATTCAGACGCACTTTGTGTGGTTTTGGATCCATAAATAAGGTCAAAATTTACAAAAACGCTCTTAAAAGTTAATCTGCATCAAAAATGCGTTTAGTAACTTCTTGCAACAAACCAAAACAATATTACTTTTTATACTGTAATAAAACTAAGTACATAATTTTTTGAAAACATGGAACAGATAGATTTTTTATTTTCGATATTTTTGTTCCATTTATATTTCCCTAATATATTAAATATTTATTTCTGATAATTATGTTTTCTATAAATTATGAAATAAATATTTATGTTTATAGAAACACATTCCCAACCATAACAACAAATAAGAAAAGGAGCAACACTTGTTTTATGCTAATCATTGTTAACTATATTAAACTATTTCTTCATAAATAATATTAATGTTTTCTAATGGTTAGATAGAATGAGATAAAATTGTGCCATTGCAAACTAAATATATTTTTGTATAATATAATTAACTGTGGTCTGTGAAAGGATAACATTTATAAATGAAATGAAATGTTTATGATAAAAAATTGAAAAAAAACTAACTGGCCTTGTATGGATGACACAAACTGCAACCTTGGTAAAAGGTTTGTTGGCCTTTGATTTCGCAATATACATAATAATGAAAGAGACAAAACAATATTTAGACCAGAAATCATTATGTACATAAATTTTAAAATAATATAATACTATTTTTTTTTTTTTTTGCAATGCATTAAAATAATTTGAAGTAATTATAGGGTAACACCAAAATATTTGTATACATATAGCAACCTCATTTCCAAAAAATTCATTATTTTCGTTAATTATAAATTTCATTTATTCACTCATGATTTTCCTATATTTCAATTTTAAATGTACATAATTCTGTTATTTAATCATTTCTTGACTGTCATTTGATGCTAAACAAATATCACTTCTGGTGTTCATTTTCATTATTTATAGGGGTTAGGTTACTATATATGAATCATTTAGTTTTTTGTGGAGAATAAAAAAAATATTAACTATTGTATTAAATGACTTATAATTTATCATAAATTACAAAAACCAAAAAGTTCTACCAGTAAAGTTGGCTAAGTAAATTTTTGTTATGAAAAGCAAATTAAGATTCCTTTTTAGGGTCCTTTAATACTCTTAAAAACCAATCCTTATAGAAATAAAAAAATTGCCAAAAAAAAATTATAAAAAAATAATTTAGTACTTGATTTTCTGGGATGAATTTTCCTTCGACCTTCAACTAAAGCATTCATGACTCCTCAGAATTTACTCCAAATTCAACTTTATAATGGTTGGAAATCTGAATTAATGCTTTTCCAACTGACACTAATACCTTTTAGACAATTTTTTTCAAGCTATAAACTAAGAAAAATTTCTATCCCATTTTTTAATGAGATGGCGGATGAACTAGCAAGACTAGACTCACAAATGATTCCCATAGCTCCTGACTATGGGTGTGAAATTATTCAATGTCTAATGAATAACAGATGGGGAGATTTATGGTGCTGAAGCTAAAAAGAACTGGTGCTTGAATAAACAGACTCATTCTAGATTGTTTCTGGAAGGAATCTGTCAGAAAAGAAGCAACCTTCTAATTAATTTGAGCAGGGGCTTACTTAAGAAAATTACAGCGGTATATATTGGACAATGTAAACTGAATTATCATATGTTCGATTTCTGGCTAACGGAGTCATCTCTTTGTAGGTACTGTGGCCAGGAGGATGAAACAGCTTATCATATCACTTATTGGTGCGACAGGTTTGTTGGACTAAGATTCCAATTATTCCCAACAAGCATACTACTGATCACTGAGACTGCAGGAATTACGCTCTAAAAAGGAGTAACTTTAATAGAGGCATAAAATAGGCCTTCTTGGCAGCGGTGCATCTATGCCACTCAAGAAAAAAAAGGTTTTTATTATATTTCTTTAATTTTAATTTGTTTACAAAGGTCAGGTTTATACCATTTTGTGTAGCAAACAGAGGCCTAAATCTTTATTAATTTGGAAGTAATTCAATTTGAGTAAAATACTTGGTACCCAAAGAAGTATTTGCCCATCTCTGCCCTGATGATGCTTGAATTGGCGAAACGTTGGCAAGTTGACTACTCACCTGTAAGTTGGAGACTCACGGCTTTGTATTATGGATTTTTTGATTTATACCAAATCACTTTATGTCTAGCTTTATGCTTTTATTAGTAATTGGTTTTTAGATTAATGAATATGTTTACATGTATGCAGGTGTTAATAAGTAGTGTTTAAATGGCAATATATAAGAGAGTCTATGTATGAAAATCTTCAAGATGTTCTAGAATGAGTTAGCAAGAATAATGAATAATTGGCTAAAAGAAGTGGTTTCATGGGAAGGAGTAAACAAATCGGTAACTTTAAAATATTGGACAAACAAACAAAGGATGAGAAAATCCAAGAAGTATAGAAAGGCCTTTTGATTTTGTCAAGCAAGGGTGCGCTACACTTTTAGTTTCCTGAGGGGTCTAGTAAGCATTTGGCTTAGTACAGATACTTTGAAATATTTTTATACATTACTGAATGTAATCATGACAGACAAGTTTACAATCAATAACAATTTAATATTTTTAATAAAAATAATCTATTCAATCAAACTTTAAACATTAAAAAAAAAGTTTTATTTCATTTCAAACACAGATTAGTCATTACAAAACAAAAAAATATGATTTTGAAACCAAGTTTTAAGTACTCTTTTAAATACTCTCCATTAGAACAAATTAATTAAAATTAGAAAAATACATAAGTATTAATTTTAAACTTCCACTTAGATCTTTCTGAGGGTTCATGATTGCATAAAAGATTATAGATTTTCTAGCCTCAGGTTCAGTATAATGCAAGGTACAAGTTTCATAAATAAAAAAAGCTGAATTGGGTTTAAGAGAAGTAATTAGCATTAAAGAAAAAGTGGGAAATAACTACATCAAAAGCTGAGGCAGGACACAGGTGCAAGCTCTGAGTTTGGAATTGAAATGTGGAAAATTACTAGGTTTCAAATTTTTTTGTAAATAACAGAAAAATGTTTTTTTTTCTTTTATGAGAAAATAATTTAGACTTTACAATAAAAACATGATTTCTTCAAATATTTTTATTCTATAAATAGTAGTTATTACCTGTTTTCATTATACAGTCATATTTTAAAAATTTATATAAGAGGAAACAATATTTTAAAACTTACTAAAAATTAATCCTACACTATACAGAAAAAATTGTAAAGATGGCAGGTTATAGGAGAGAAGAGGGATGGATAGTAAAGTTCCAGCAAATCTGAATATGAATAATCCCTGGTTGTGGAATTTTTCAAGAGAGACGAACAACCAAACTTTAGTGTAAATAACTACATGAAACACAAGAATAATTAATTTTTTTTATGTTATCAAATTTTATATAACTTGTAAATTATAATAATAAAATTCTAAAATATATATGTAGTGAAATTAAGGATATAACACAAAACTGTGTTTGTTGAATCAATTAAGAATTTCATCTATTTATAAATATATTTTAAGCCTATTCTTCTTCTGTAAAAATATAAAAGGGGAAAGTGGATCCTCAGATCTCTTCAACCCACTTTTAAACACTCCACTAACTAGAGATTTTTCTTGTTTTGCTACAAAATAGGAAATTAAGAGTAAATTTCTATTGATAATTAAGATTTTTAAAATGTAACTGAATGAACTAATGATAAGAGGGGCAATAAATAATCAAAAGCAAGACTTCATCAAGATACAGAGACTAACAAGGAATATCTTTATAAGTTATATTTTTCAAAACAATAAATATGAATGTATTTACAAACTAATAACTATTCAATGAGATGCCATTTCAAAGCAAAATTCTCCATCCAATTTTCAGCAAAATCAATTACTTGATGAATGCAACTAATCAGTTTGAATGTAAAACATCGATGATTATAGTATCAGTTCATATATCGATAAATAATGAATGCAATTGTATTAAATAAACATTAACCCAATAACAAAACCCAAAATACTTTTTCAATTGTTGAAACAAAGTTTGACTGTGACAACCATTTATTTACTTAATAGAGATGATTTTGGGAATCATGAATATAAAACTAACTTACAGTGACACCGTATTTTAATGCCAATCCTTGTAGTGTGTCTGACTGTTTAACTTGATGTTTTATATACTGATCCTGGCGTTTACAGTTGTAATTTGAAGTACTGCCATACTTCTTCAGAGGTCTTGCTGAATCCCTAATGGCAATTCTTTCTTCCATACTTATTTCCATTTTCCGTCATTGTTAACAGTGCAAATTACAAGATAACACCATTACAACTATGAACGAAAACAGCTGACACGAACGCATTGCGAGAGTACTGGTTATGAAGAGCCACTTACACAGTAAATGAGATCTTAGACATCAGCGCTCCAAGTAGTATATCTATCAAACTTGTTAATCTGGTGGCAAATTCAAACTATTTATTCTTTTAACATAAGTATAATAGACATATTACATAATGAAATTAACAATTTATCATATCTGAGAAAATTAGGAAAACAAGTTATATTCATTGATAAATATTAGTAAAGATTCTAGATAATCATGAGCAGGTAAACGCATTGGATTTCAAATGTTACATAACACTGTCACACCAATGGATGGGCAAGTTCCTAAACTCATCGATATAATAGCGGGCGGGTTCCTAAACTCAGCGCTGAGATCATTGATGACCATCGAAAATCCATCAGACCGTTCTTTAACTCATCGTTGTAATAGTGGATAAGTTCCTAAACTTAGGGTTGAGATTATTAGTGACATTAAAAATCCAACATGGATTTGCGCTGAGTTTCGGAACTAGATCAATTCAACGTATTTAATTAAAAAGCCATTTACATTTCCATAAACGACCTATTTATCAAACTTGCATTGACCATTTAGAGACCGAATTAATATCCAAATCAAATTTTAATTTTAATTTACTTTTTTGTATACCTAATTTTCACATTGAATATTTTAGAGGAAGGAGATCTTCCGGGGTGACGTTCATAAAGAGACATCATAATCCTGTCGAAATGTGTCTCCCTCAAAAATTCAAAATTGAGCAAAAATTTTGATGGCGTAAGTTGCGCTATGAAACCCCCTTCTGGACACCCCTGGCCTTGTTAGAGAGACGAAATGGGAAAAAATAGTGTCGAAAACTAAATGATAGCAAGTTTTATTGAAGATATATTAGGATTAAAATATCTCAAAAACAAAAAATCGAATCTGCGTACTGTAAGAAAGGGAATGGTCCAAAATTTCATCCTCTCTGTAATGGGATATTACTCCAAATAGTATCTTAACGCGACGCCGTGTTAGAGAGTCGAAAATGAAAAAAAAATATTATCGAAAACCAAATGATAACGAGTTATATGGAAGATATGGATTAAAATATCTCAGAAACTAAAAATCGGACTTGCATACTGTATGTGAGGGAAATGTTCAACATCTCATCCTCTTTATAATGAGCTATTATTTATAATTTATATTTCATATTATTAATCTCTCCTTGTTGATGTATTTATAGTCACTAAACTACATTTTAATAAACTACAATAGCTTCCGTTTTTTTTTATATTCAAAACGTTTCGATCTCTGTTTCTTAAAATTTAAAATTTTAAAATAACATTTCGCGTTAACCGAATCAACTAGTGATAACGGGGGATTACAATGTGTACATATGTAGTTGGGATTTGAAGTGTAGTAAAGCAGTTCAACGAACTTTAGCCAAAGCATGACGTGATAGGAATAAATTTTTGTCAGAAAATACACATTGGCATTGTAGCCAACAAGACGACTAACAGTTACAAACCATATTTATGAAATAGGAGCAGACGTGCTTAACATTTTTTTTTTTTTTAACAAGTCGAATAAAGTTTTCATTGACAACTTAATGAACAATATTATTAGTTAGTCGCGTGAGTTGGGGATTTACTTTTAAGGCTTTGGATTGTAAGGGTCTGAAATCGCTTGTTTGGAGTAGATTAACAATAATTTATTTATTTTTTAATATTTATTGAGTAATATAACATTTTGTCGATTGGGCAATAGTTATAGTAAGTCAAAATAACATTCACACTATATCTAAATAAAAATATAAAATAAATTGAAGCAAAATAATGACTAAATATTGGATTGTCCGAAAAATAATGCAGGATTTGGAGTTTTCTTTAAATTACCCCTCTATATTACAAACTATTTACGTTTACAGGATTATTCATTCGTATGAGTGTTAACACTTATTAATCATCTTCCATACGATAATGTTTGTTCACCTCTGTAGCATATCGCTGCTTAGAAATAATTCAGTCTGTACTAAGATGACAACGCGTGATTTTCGTATAATTTTGTTTTACAAGTTTAAACTTGGGCGGAATGGGACCCATATGGCCAGAAACATCAATCAAATGCACTGTTCAAATGTGGTTCAAAACATTTCGGGAGGGAGACTTCAGCCTTGAAGATAAAGAATGTCGCAGAAGGCCTTAATCTCTTGATGACGATGTTCTGTGGGCTTTGGTGGAAGAAAACCCCAGAACAACCTATCGAGAATTTGAAGGGAATCTTAACCTTAGCAAATCGACCGTCGATGAACACCTCAAGGCGATTGGAAAAGTAAAAAAAGCTTGAAAGTAGGATTCCACACACATTAAACGATCGCCAAAAACATCAGCGTTATAAAGTTTCTGCTATAATTCATTGAAGAAACAAAAACGACCCTTTAGTGTACAGAATTGTTACTTGTGATGAAAAGTGGATACTTTACGATAACAGTAGACTTTCCGGATAGTGGCTCGACAAAGGAGAAGCAGCAGAACATTTTCATAAGCCCCCAACACATCAAGAAATGGTGAGGGTTATTGTTTGGTGGGCTTCATTTAGTTTGATAAACTTCAATCCTGGAGAAACCATAAATTCTGATTCGTACTGTAACCAAATTAATGCGATGCATCAGAAATTGCAGGCAACAACGAAGCCATCTTTGGTCAATCGGAAGGGGCACATTTATTATTTATTTATTGTTACATTCCACATCTAGCTGAGCGGGTCATTAGAGGCGGGACACATTTTATTACATGACAACTCTCGACCACATGTCTCATGTGTGACGTTACAAAAACTGTTGGAGCTTGGATATGAAACTCTGCCACATCCTCCCTACTCTCTGGGCTTCTCGCTAACGAATTATAATTTTTTTATACCTGGACCACTACTTACGTGACAACAAATTTAATGGACAAAGGGGATTAGAAAATGCGTTGTTGGAGTTTATAAATTATAAAGATAAAAAATTCTATTCAGAGAGAATGGAAAAGTTGTCAACACGGTGGCAGAAATGTATTGATAGTGTTGGATATTATTTTGATGAAATAAAACAGTTGTAAAATTTTCTTTTGAAACCAAAATCCCCCATTATTTTCTGGATAACCCAATAATAATCAAAAAGCATATACAATAAATAAAACTAAAATAACTAAAAGATAAGTAAATTAAAAAATAAATACAGAACAATAAAATTAAATCCTTATATATATAAACTATAAGGGTAAAGTATCTGTCTTAAATTGGTATGAGTTGACGCCCAGTGTGATATTTTGATTAGAAAGGTAAAAACATTCCTCAATGGATAGGGTTAATTTTTTTATTCTTTTCCTTTTATTTCTCACTACTAAATTAAGCGAACAGATGTGGTTGTATAGATGTACAATAATATTTTAAGAAAATATTATAAAAATATTATAGGAAAGTTTCATCAAAATCATTAGAACCGTTTTCGCGCTACAGTCTATAGAAAAACATCTTTTTAATTTATTGCGCAGAGCTATTGCGCATGGAGCACTCAATTTCTGTCACAGGCATTAGTAGTCAAAACCCTACAAAATAAAAAAGAAGCAACAAAATCAGTTCTGAAGTTACCGAGAAAATCTTGGCACAGACCAATGGCTTAAAATGTGTTTTTCGGACTCAAGGGGCTCTGAAACGTATATATCCGTCGATAAAAATTGTCCCTATCGCTTACTTTATAGTCCCTATACTTTCCTTACCTAGTAGAGGTAGGAAAGTAAAAAGTGTATTAAAATTTTAAAAAGAAATATGAAATTCTTAAGTAGCATAACGAAATAATTGTTATGTTTATGATGAGATCTACTGCTTACGCTATGAGAAGTTTAGTATAAATAATGCAGTAGTCTGAAGGTTTTTACAGCCATAAATCAGAGATAATAGTTATAATAATTCTTTTTTATCAGTTTAATTATGTTACATACTCCAATTACAGCGGAATCCGGCAAGTTATCAACCTATTTTTGCTAACATTTTAAGATCCAGATTTATTTTTATAATATTTTAAGAAAATATTATAAAAATATTCGCATAAAATAAATGAATATGCTCAGTCTATTACAATCGCTGCAATCCTCTATGCACAACACTTAAGATAAGGAATTAATTCTATGATTGTTATGCGGAATATTGAGGATATTTTTATGTCCGTAATCGACAAAAAGCTAATCAAATTATCATGAGTTAAAATGAACTAATTTTTAGGAACATCAAAAAAGCATAATGCGATAGTCTGCTTAGTTATTTGTATAGAAAATCATTCGATAAATATGGGAATTTATTGAATAACATGACATAATATTATTTATAAGAAGTAGATACATGAAATTACAAAACAAAAAATTAAATACATTTAAGATACATATAAGACACATATAATAGATTTTTATTTATTTATTTATTTATATGATATTTACAACTGTATACAAAAAATAATCTGGTAAATTCGCACATGGATATAATGACATGAAATACATGTTGAGAAACTACCCATTGGTAGCACTCTATAATAGATTTAAATTTAATTAGAATATTTTCACTTCACTTTAATAACAGATTTATCCTGTAACTCCAATATTCCATGTATTTGGAACACGTATGAAATTACCGATTCTGAACTAACCAATACTCTATGTACTAAAACGACAATAATGTATTTTAATATTTTTTTTTAGTTCCCTATCGTCATTTCATTGTCTATTAACCTTGTTCTGGCTTCTTGAGTTTCTTCGAATATCTGACGAAGTTTAAAGGTACAAAATAACGTGTTTTTAACAATTATATTTTTTCAAAACAAGTCTAAAATTATTTATCAAAGTTTTTCCTGGAAACTTTGTATATACCTACAATAATTATTCCAAAGATTTTATTTTCTCATTGTAAATATAACATTTATTCCTATCCAT